GTAGTAGTGGTAGTAGTAGGAGTAGGAGGGGTAAGAGCAACAGGAGTAGGAGCTACTGTAGCAATATAAGCTTAAACTGTATCAGCAGCAACAATCAACAGCGCGGTATTCGTTTGGAAGGCCTGAGATGTAACCCATGCTAAAACGTTGCCGTAGCACGGGCAACACAAATAAAGACAATGGTAGCACATGCAGGCAGAGCGGCAAAAGTAGTGGCAATGGTGATAAGAGTGATAAACCCTGTCATTACATGTTGTCGAGGTAGTGATGTCTTGGTTGCAGTCCTCTCCTGGAGCCTCACCTTTCCTTCTGGGGCGAATAAGCATCTTGTCAAGCTGCAGGCTTACCGCTTGTACCAGGACTCCGACGAACCGGACCCTGAGAGATGCAAGGGGAATTGTCCTAGTCTAGGTGACGGGTTTTGCGGTTTGGCGTCTTTGGTGGAATGCATGGCTCGGGTCTTCTGGATCTTGACTCGCACCATCTTGGGCAACCGTAGTGCCGTAGTGCTCGTAGCAGCCATATGATTGTGACGAGCTCTTGGCAAGGGCAAGGGCGGGAGGGCAGGGTTCTCAGCAGGCCCCCCCGATGAGGATGCAGAACCCATCGGTTCGAATGAAGATGTGGCCGAGTAAGCACGAATCGTGCGACCAGAAACTCCAGCTCAGCACACCTAGGACAGACAAAAGTTCAAGATTGATTCGCAGAACACTGTTGCGTACACCGACGAAGACATCAATGATATCGCTCGACCCTGAGATTGAAGTCGGAAGAAGGAACCCTTAAGGGAGACCGTGTGGTAGAAGGTGTGAGGGAGCACGTGTTTGCCACTGCCAGTCTTTGATGTACCACCACGTGTTGTTGCGTGCTCCGAAAAATCGGGCTGCTATCGGTGCTGAGCAGCAGGGGTGAAGTTCTCACAGGCCTTCAGCAAGGAGCTGTTCTTGCTTGTGATCCAGGCCAGCTGCATGCATGCATGTTTCAGAGTGAGGCACGTAGCTTGAGGATGTGGGTGTCGTGACGATTGGCTGAAATCGCAGCGCCAGCTGTGTCCCTTCAAGCCTTAGATCAGCATCGACCTGAGTGTGGTTTGCTGGGATGACAATGCGGAACGGAAAGACACCCACGACTAGCACCACCACCAGCACCAATACCGCCACTGCTGTGGGTACTACTACGGCTACAACGACGACAACGACGACCACGACGACGACACGAATACTGCTGCTGCTGCTGCTGCTGCTGCTCCTCCCGCTGCTCCTACTACTACTACTCCTCCTCCTCCTCCTCCTGCTGCTGCTGCTGCTACTCCTGCTGCTACTACTACTACTACTGCTACTACTACTACTACTACTACTACTACTCTTGCTACTGCTGCTACTACTGCTACTACTATTACTTCTTCTACTACTACTACTACTACTACTACTACTGCTACTACTGCTACCGCTACCGCTACCGCTATCGCTACTGCTATCGCTACTGCTACTGCTACTGCTACTACTACTACTACTACTACTACCACCGCTACTACCACTACCACTACCACTACCACTACCACTACCACTACTACTACTACTACTACTACGACGACGACTAGCTACTACTGCTACTACTACTACTACTACCACCACCAGTACCGTTGTCACTACCACCTACGACTACCCTTGCCACTGCCACTGCCACTACCACTACCTGCTCCACCACCACCACCACCACGACTACTACGACCACTACTTCTACTACCACCACTACTACCACCGCCACCACCACCAGCACCACCACCACTGCCACCTACCACTCCCACTACCACTACCACTACCACTCCCACTCCCACCCCCACCCCCACGCCTACTCCCACTACCACTACCACGACGACGACGAATGCTACCACTTCTACTTCTACTGCTACTACTACTGCTACTACATTTTGCTGCTACTACTACTACTACGACGACGACGACGATGACGACCACAACCTGCGTCACCGCGAGTTTGTACCGTGTGCATGCTTCCTGCCCTTGCCTCTACTACAAGATTTCTGTACCTTGAAGTGGGAATACTATTCCTCGTCGCATTGATGAGCTAGCAGTTGTCCTTGCTGTAGTGTGGCCACCCTTATCGGTTCTGAATCTCTGCCATTGGTGTTTGGTTCCTACTCCTTGTTTTCGATCCCATCCTCATACCATTGGGTAAGCCCGTCCAATGTTATCTGCGTGGCACTCGCAATCACTGCAGCATCGCGATGGCAAGCACATAGACAAACACATCATCAACTAGACTCGACGGTACATCTGAAAGATACTCGACGGTACATCTGAAAGATACATGCTTGCATACTGTCCAGACACGTTTAGTTGAATTCGTCGTTTGCTGAGGCCGTTGTCTTCGTCGTCGGTGTCTTTAGCGTCTTCGATGTCCGTGTCGGCGCCAAATCGTTATGGTCAGGATCGTCAGCAGAGCTGTGGTCGTCGTCATCGCCGACGCTGATCTCTCGCATTTGCTTCTTGTTATTCTTATGATCAGAAATTGCTAGGAGTCCTCTTGGAGTAGTCGCCAAAGCAGTTGGCGCAGCAACGCCCACTGCTCATCAACCACTGCTGACATTGCCTGCCAATGAAACGCATCTTCCTCTGCACTGGCGTCCCTTTCACAAGTCCTGCTTATTGCCGATGCCCGGAACCCGAACTACCTTGGGTGCACTAGTGAACAACAAGCCTTGGCATGGCAACACGGCAGAAAGTGTCGCTAGAAAACTTGCCCTCTTGACTCAAGGACTCCAAACCCCGAGCACCCGAAGAGCCTGGTAAGGCAGCGGTTCGGCATCCAGTACTGGAGCATCGGAAAGCCTGGAGGAACGGTTTTGCGAGGTCAAGCGACAGAAATCGGTTAAGCAAGCACCATGCACAGACTCAGCCATGTAAACACGATGGCTTCCTCATACATGTCCGAAATACTGCAAGGCACGGTAAGGGATGGCCTACGGCGCAGCGCCAAACAGGCTGATGCATCCCAAGGCACTGCGCTGCCACGCGCCACATCAGCGCAGCGGAGGCATCAGTGCCGGGTGAACTGGCAGAGGACTGAATGGGAGCGTTAAACAGTAACAGCCTCAACATCACTGTCAGACCCTTTTCTGTTTCATTGCTGATGCTACTGGTCTGAGGATCGCTGCTGGGGTCTGTAGACGTAGATACTACAAGTAGCAACCAGTTCAAGTATCGGTGTGGGTGTTCGTATCAAACGAGTCATTAGCATCGGGACCGTGCGACATCATGACTGCCTCTTGAAGCTCGCTTTCAAAACCGGGACACCATAAACCACCGAGACCAAAATCCATACTCCTACACTCCGAATAGCGAGAGGAAAAAGCCACGACTGGGGACCTGGTGGCCACGGAATCCAGGCAGGCAGCCCAGTCCGAGCATGCCTTGTGCTGGCGCCCCCAGCGTGGCAAAAAAAAAGTGGCATTCTTGATTTGGCTCTTCTTCTTGCTCTTCTTCGATACTGAACCGGATGCAACGCCGCCGACGACGACGTCTCATTGACTTCGTTGACATGTGTCTTGATCAGACAAGCTTCCGAATACTATTTGTGCATCCTGCTTTGTCAGGCTGGTCCTCTGTGCCCCCGCAGCCGGGATGCGAAGACAACTTTTAGAGCCATCTCTGCAGTCGTCTCGTCGAGCTGCCGGATCATGTCCTGAACTTCTCGGCATATCTATAGGCAAAGCCCCAGATGCCGTAGACTCTACGTAGACCCCTAATCGAACCCCGACTCGAGTCCTGGAGAACGGCTTCAGCACCTTTCCGGCAGAGGTGCTGCATGCTTCTAGAAAGTTGGGTTCGGTTTGGGCCACTATAAGCAAGTAGTGACAGTGTTCGAACATGCTATCATGACCTATGCTGGTTCTTCGGCTGCGTCTCTTCAAGTCCACAGCTGGCTTCACAGGGAACCCCCTGGCGGAAGCTACACGATCCACAGCTTGGCCTTTGTCTTCGCGCTTCTTGGCCAGCCAGCTCATCAGGTAGGTCTGGCAGGCATCTCGAACCTGACAGAGGTCGGGTTCTTGGGGTATAGCCTGGGGTTTGGGGGCTGTGGGATTGAGGTCAAGTTTTAGGCTTTGTTTCGAGACTGGGGCCGCATGGGGTCGCAGGCTGCCCCTACAAGAAGATGAGAGTTGCACCTCGGCGTTGGCGTCGCGGAATCCGATTCGCACGATCTCGGCCGGCAGCTTTCCTGGCTCCTCTCAGGGCCCACGCATCGAACCCGTCCCCGTCCCCCCCCGCCCGGCTCCCATGGGCTCTGCATCCAAGCTGCCGCTCGCTCTAAATTCCGAGCCTCGAACCCCTAACCCACACCCTAAACCCTCAACCCTAAACCCTAAAACCCTAAAACCCCAAAACCCTAAAACCCTAAACCCTAAAACCCTAAAACCCCGAAACCTCCTGCGACGCATGGGGCGCGCCTGCTTCTCTAAGGCCTCGAAGAGTCGGCATCGGACGCGAGGGGCGGCGTCCAGGCATCGCCCCGAAGCCTCATTTATCATTATGGTAATAAGTTATAACTATTATTCGTATTATTCTTATGATTATTACTATTGATTATGGTTTTAATTATAAGTATAATTACTATTACTATTACTATTACTATTATTATTGCTATTATTATTGTAATTGGTATTACTCTTATTATTATTATTGCCCTGAAGCCTCGGCAAAAGTGCATCGTAGATTTTCTACGAGTCGTGATAAGCCCACTGCTAAGAATATCTACGAAGGATAGGAAACAGAACGCTGGAGCGTACGAGCTTACTAGCAAGTGGAAGGCGCAGAAGAATCAACGGGTTGAAGGCCGGAAATCTTCTGTGATCTTGTCCGGCCTCTTCCGCTGCACCCCTGTCGCCAAGGCTGAGAACTGCCGTTGCGCGGACCTGGAAGCTTTCAAGGGATGCCCAGAGTCTGTGAGTCACCAAAGACGAAAGTCACCAAAAAGAATCCAAAATTGAGAAAGCACGTTAAAGTCGGTCTAATGTGACGCTTCCACCCAGCCACGGCAGGGGTGATATCGCGGCTGGCAAGATGTAGCAACGCAGCATGGAAATCCTCACCTGTGGGAGGCACTTCAAATCGGATTGTCCTTGATGAATGTGCAGTGTGTACGCATAGAGCGTAGGTGTAGGCGGAGGCATAGGCCAGGCGTAGTTATAGTTATGCACATGTACATGTGTATCCGCATGTACATGTAGAAGCACATGTACATGTACATGTATGCATGTGTATGTATGTGTCTATGCGCATATTCGTCAAAGTGTGTGTGTGTGTACATATATATATATATATTATAGCAAACATGTAAGTAGGTATGTCTACATGCATGCACATGTGCATGCAAGTAGCTGTTTGTCGACACGTATGTATAAACATATATGCATATGTATATATATATATATACATATATATATATATACATATATATATAGTATAATATATAGACACACATGGGTCTGTAATTTCGCGCTGTGTGTGTTGGGGGGGAGGGTCATGGATGGTCTATTCGTTGTGAAACTATGTATGAACTGGGGTACCAAGAAGCATGCGGAATCTCGAACAGCTCCCTCTCCACACCTGGAGATCCTCAACATTAAAGCCTAAACCCTTTCAGCCTTAAATCCTAAGCCACTTAACCCTGCAGCCTATACCCTAGAGAGTCAAGGACCGTCCAAGGAGAAACCAAGCATGCTTCAACATGTAGCAACTTAGTACAAATACCAAGAGAGATATCCCAAACCTCATATTAATGTACATGTATATATAAATATATGTACACGTGTTCATTTATATAATATGGCGATAGCTCAAAGACCAGCCTTCGACACGGCTAAGGCCACGGGCCGCTGCCAGCCGCACAGGCGGAGAACGGTCCTGGTCGGATCAAGCGCATCCAGGGCAACGAATGACACAAAAGAAATTAAAACATAGAGGATGAGGAATAGTTAGAATAAGAATAAAGCATAATAGTTTGTAGTACGATACTGACACCGTGATGAGGAGAGCGCCTTGGCAAGGTCTAGCAGTGCGAGTCCGGCAGCTTCGGTGAGGTGCCTGCCAAGGACCTCCAGATTTCAGCGGCTCCACAACCAAAATAGCGTGCATTCTTATTGCCATTATCATTATTGCAACTGTTATTGTTACTGTTATATTCTTACTGCTACTCTTATCATGATTAGTAACAGATTCTGACGGACAGAGAGGCAGCACCCTAAAGCTAAGTGCATACATGGCAGACATGAGCTAAGTGCCACGATCCCGACTATCAGGCTCCCACCTGCGTGCTGGGGTCGCCCAGAGGAGGAAGCCTTGGGGACCCAGTAAAACTTCCGGGTAACTACTGGCTTAGGGTTTAGGGTTGAGGGTTTTGGGGTTTAGGGATTCGGGTCTGCTCAAGTTGGTAGCAGCAACAGTTGACGACCACAACCCGCACGACTACAGACCACAACCACCGGCCGCCACCACCACCACCACCACCACCACCGCCACATCCACCATGAGGACAACTGCAAAAGACTTTGCTGAGCCTGTCATAAGGATTAGAAACAGCATTAAGCATTAGCATCAATTTTAATTGGCACGCAATATGAACATACATACACATAACTCTATGTGTACTTGCCAGTGAATCCCCCTGTGCTGTACATCCACATATCCACATGTAAATATAGAGAAATCTGCCGCCGGATACATAGGTTGAGCTGCACAGTTGCTCTCGCTTGCTGTCAACATGACTCCGTTGCTGTCTTATCAATACGATTCTGAACGACCTCATGGCATCTTGCCGATCATGCTGCCCATCATGACGGCTCCTGTCCTGGTTCCCTGAGACCGAAACCTGAAACTCTAAACCGCACCAACATTCTGGGAACCCGACAAGCGCCACAGGAGGCAGGCTGCCCGGCAGCGGGCAGCTCGATCCCGAAGCGCCTGGGCCTCTCGGAGCCAGCAGTTCACCTCCCCCCGCTACCAGTACCAACAGTGTTCTGTCGGCGCTCGCGGCTTCTTCCGCGCTTCTTCCCTGGACTGTTCCGAGTTGCAACTCTCTTGAAGGTTTCGTTCGAGTATCAGGAATCCTGACAGGGACCTCCCCGTTTCACGATCCCCCGCGGCCTCGCTTCCGAGCCGCTGCACAAGCCAAGATAAGAGTCGGCCGGGAGTCTTCTCTTCGGCTTCCGCCTGTGCAGGCAGGATGCAGGGGAAAGCAAGAAGGAGATGATTCCATATGCACTGCACCTCCAGAGCCACCGTGGCGAGCAAATCGAGGCAGCCATCGACCAGCAAGAAGCTTGAACGGCAGTCACCAGCGCCAAGCATGGCCTGGAGGGCATGGGCAGCACAGAGGCACAGAGTGCATCTCGTCTCGAAAAGGTGATAGACACTGTGGGACAAGAGATGCATGCACACCAGAGCACGGCCTCCGCACAGCTTTCCAGGGCCTTTGCCATCCTTGGCAGGCTTTGACGGAAACCAAGCATCCAAACTGCGCCATAAACTTTACTAGTAGCTCTGATCGTTCACTTTGGTAAAGTTTGATGCACCTTGCCCAAAGAGAGGGCCGTCCCAGCCCAGGTCCAAGTGGCTGAGCATGGCCCTGCAGCTCCCGCAGCGCGCGAAGGCGGGCCAGGCAGGCCGAGGGGTCTGCGCCAGCGGTGCCCTCGCAGCACACATTCGCTGAGTTTTTTTCCGAGTTGGGAAATACTGAGATCATATATACTCGCCTCGAAATGGCTGAAGATCTGGTAAGCATCCTGTGCACCTTACACTTCGCACTGAGTTCTATAGCGCATCCGAACCCCTGTGCTGGTCATGACAAAGTGAAGCCGGGGCGCACTCCCCTACCACGTCGGTTGCAAGCTGCACCTCGGCGGCTTTCGCCTTCGCCTTTGGCTTGTCGACTGCAGGTTTTGCCGCGTTCGCTTGCTGCGCTCGCTGCCCTGGACGCTGCTTTCCCTTGACCCGTCTTGGTGGCTCTGCGCACGAGACCAGCGTGGTCTTCTTGACGTGCCGCTTCAGTGGTGTGGGTGGCCGACGGTTCATGATCAGCTGCGACAAGGTGCCTCGTGCCCGTTGTGGCGTGCTTTCAACACGAGACGAGGGTTGAGCCTGATCAGGGACCTTGCGACCAAAGCTGGTTTGGCGCTTCTTCGCCACGAAAGCCAGAAACCTCCCTTTCCTGGCGGATCGCGGCACGCTGCGAGTGGCGCAATCCTCATGGCCTTCAGCGGACTTCCTCACTCTTCTGGGTGTCACCGGCTCGGGCGCTTGCATCTCGGGCATCGGGTGAACCTCCTCCCACGCGATACTCACGGCAAGCAACTCCATTCTACCTAGGAGGCACTACGGCACTCGATGTGTGCGGTAAACGGTCAGACTGTGAAAGCTGTTGCAGCATGATGCAGCTGCTCACACAACACACTCCCAAACCTGCCCAGATTCCCTTCACAAACAGAACAGTGAGTCCTAAACCCAAAAGACCCTAAACTTGCCGGCAGTCTGGCCTCCGCCTTCTTCTTCTCTTTATCTGCCTTGCGCTTGGCAGCTTCTTCGGCTAGGGCGGCTAGGGCCTTCTCAGCCTCCGTCTTTCTGGCCGCCTGCTGTCGTTTGGCCTCTTGCTTTTGTTTCTTCTTTTCCTGCGCATCCTTCTGCTCGGCCTCTGCGTGAGCCTTCTCGGCTTCCTTCTTCGCCTCCTCCAGCTTCCTAGCCTCCTCCAGCTTCGCCGTCTTCCTCTCCTCTTCTGCTTGTCGCTTGGCCTCCGGCAGCACTCACAGAAACACTCTTTGGCATTGCAGCTTGCAGCATCAGGCTCAAGAGAGACTGCACACACGTGTCTCAAGCCCAAGAATTTCATCACGGAAAGCTCACACATTGCGCAGTCACATTGCAGTGGGTGCAAACCAAGTGTTGCTGTGGGTTTGGTTGGGCGGGCGAGATGGCGTGCTAGCAACAAGACCTCCTGCCTAAATCCCTGAACCCCCGCGGTCTACACCTGCTGGAGAGTCTGAGCAAGTAGCTAGCACTGAGTCGCTTGGTCACAGCTTTCAGGCCTAGTTAGGCGTGCAGTGGAAGGAGTGGAAGATCCAAAAGGTAGCTCATGGACTTGAATGAACTTCACCACCACACAATGTCGGCAGGGATGAAAGCCCAGACGGTGCGACACTTGCATTCGCCAGGATTTAAGGCCTAGGTTATCCTCCATCTTGACTTCTCTCTCCAACAAAACCCAACAGATGAATGTGCCTTGGTCGCTCCCCAATCCTCGCTGCCGGTGCGAGCAGCCGCACTTCAATCTCGAGCAACCCAATAAACGGAAAACTCTAAAGACCCCAAGCAGTGCGGTCCTTGCATAGTTTCTTCTGTGTTTTTCTTGTCGTCTTCAAAACAGTCTTTTGAGGTAAACCTTCGTCCTGGAGTTCGCTTTCCTGCTTATCCTTCGGCAGCTGGATCTCGACCTCTTGTCCTCTCTTCTCCGCGGATTCCGGATAGACGTCTTCGCTTGAGATGTGTTCCTCATGGGCTTCTTGCTGATGAGCCTCCCTGTCCATTGTGCTGTCGTCAACCAAATCCTCGGGATCCGCGTCGCCAACTTCCTCGACCACATCCGCTTTCTCCTCCTTCTTCTCCTGCTCCTCTGTCTCTTCCACTGCGCACTCCTCCTCTGCCTGGTCCTCCTCCTGCTCCTCCTGCTCCTCCTCATCCTCGCCTTCCTCAGTATTCTGCCCGACCTCCTCAACCTGCTCGGCTTCATCGGCTGTGAAGCTCTCTAACTCGAAAGCCGTCGCAGGCGCTACCTGACAGGATGTGAACACTCTGTGGGTTAGGGGTTCGGGGATTATTATGATTATTGTTACTATTATTATTACTATTTTTGAGTTTTCTGTGCGGTGTAAAGCTACCGGGGGCAAGGCTGCCTGAACTCCAGGGAGTAGAGACGAAACAGCAGACTCCTCAACAGAAGCTCCCGAAACCCTGAACCCTAAA